TGGACATTTACGTTTTTTTCAATAAAAGACCTACTTGAGTTTTGTTGTAAATTTTTTATATTAGGTGGAGCTTCACACAGTGAAACTACTTGGAGCTGACCATTTAAACTTAGCAGATGGTGATTCACAAGGTGACCGAGACCTGGTTGGTGGTGATTATGGTCTTGCTGAGACATCAACTGGTAGGTATTTCAGCTATACAGTGGACTCTTTTCACATCCTGTTTCTGAATACTACCTTATTCTCTGAAATCTGTCATCATTTTCATGTACCGATTTATTTTCTTATTACTTCAACCCAAAAAGTTTTGAGTAGTCTGTATTCTGAATATTACGAATTACAACATCAATCGGTAGTCCTGTCAAACAATTTGCATTGAATTAACATCGTATAATCTGGCCTTCAATCTGTGGGTGTTAACCTAGAAAAGACTGACACCAATCAATTATCGGTAAGATTAATACCTGTGTCGGTCTTTGTTGATTACCTTGATATCAACAGTAAGATGCACATGTGGTTTCAACATCAATTTCTTTAAACATTCAGCACACCTCGACCAATTCTACGAATCTAGGGTACCGGAGTCTGCTGAGGTTTGTTGAATGAGCCTTTAAAGTTAGTGGCAAAAGTGTAGGTGTAAGTCTTAGTGTTGATCTTGGTAACGTTGAAGGATTCCACATGCAGATTTCGTCTATTATTGAAGAGATTCTCATGAAAACATATTTAATTGTGATGAAATTTTTTTTCTTTTAAAAACATTACCCGACCGATCATTATTTGATAAAAATGTGAGCGCTATAGCAATGTAAATATTAAATTTTTGCCACCAAATACAACACTGATATACAACCGAAGATATACTTCTGGTATTTGAAGGTACAATACTACTTCCGGTATTGAGTATTCCATCATGCTGTGTAATCCGACATATTTTTACGATGTCGTACGATGTCGTAAGTAACAGATTCCACTGTATATATAAGTCCACGATGAAAACTCAATTGATAAGAATTTATTATACCATTAAAACTATATAGATTAAATATCCGACCAACATGCCTGCAGTGATCTATCAAACTGATCACCGCATACCCCATCAAGTCTTATTTTCATCCTTTCCCCTGTCTATTTATAATAACAGAGTAAACACTAGCCATATGTTTTGACTAAACCTTCTAATAGCTGATCCATCAACACTTTCTTATCTACAGGAATTTATAGATTTATGAAAAAATAATCCAATCAGTTTTTGGTGTTCTTGCAGAATTAGTCCCAGAGTCCATTCAATTTGTGCATGCTTTTTTATGTGGTGATTTTGTTTTTGCTTGAGTTCTATTATACAAACTGTTTTCAAGAATGTTCACACCCCTCCACCACGCCATTATGAAATGTTTTAAATTATTTCTGTTTGTAGGTAACATATTTTTAACAAGTGGAAGTTCTATGTGGATGAGGCTTGTTGTTGATACATTGCCAGGAAAAAGAGAAGTGATTCTTCGTTTTTCAGAATCAGGTTATTACAATCAAATATATCATTACTAAGAAAAAATGTCAGACATCCAGCAGGAAAAATTGTAAATAAAGTTCTTCTGTTACTACCTTTGTTTATTATATAGACATTACTGACTGCATCTATTCAAAAAATACTTAAATATTTAGGTTTGTAGTGCCAATCAAGGGCAAAATGTAACAACATCTGAAAATTAATTTTTGTTTATTTTGTTAAAGATGGAGATGGTCGATATTATGACCAAGGAAAGTTAACTCTTGGTGCCTCAAAGAAACATATGCTTAAAGCTGGTAGTTCTGATTATTATTATCAACTTGTAACATCTACTCAGGTAGGTAGTTGTAACATGTCGGCTGATGGATTTTCATTCAAGCCATTATTTCTAACTCACATTTGATTTGAAAACGCAAAAACATTCTGTGGAATTTTAGAGTCGAATGTAAATAATTTTGGTGAATAGGATTTTTGCTATGGTGCCATATTTTCTATGTTATGTATAGCTTTTAAAAAAGATAACTTGTTAAAATGATTGGTATGTATGAGTTCATGATAGATTTAGATTACACGACCTCATTGTAGTTACAACTGTGTTAATTACCCACCCAAAAAAATCCCTTATATTTTTTACTTAAATTTTTGTCAAAATGTTACATAAACTACAATCATATTTATCATCAGTGTTTGAAAAGTAAGGGAACAGAAATGAACTTAAAGGAAAAGTCCCAGTTTTTACTGCGTCTATGAAATAAAACTGTATTTAAACATGCATTATGCAAGAGCAAAATCTGCTTATTACAAGTCTTTCTTTAGGCCTGAAATGTTATCTAAATTATCAATTAGACATTAATTAACTTATCCAGACCATAATAAACTCTTGATGTCAAGGCTAGCCTTCGATGTAGGCTGGATTAGATTCCTATATGCCGCTAACGGCCAAAGATAATTAAATCAGAAAAAGTGGATAATCGAGACTATGCTGTTTATATTAATGATTTTAGTAATGATAACCGAGACTATGCAAAAATTTCACCGGCTTCTTTCTCGGCTCATAGTGCATCAATTTGACTGAAATTTTCAGCAAATTACCTTTACACTATCTAGTTTTTAACTATTATAGCGAGAACTGCCATCTCTTTATCTTATCTCCCATAATGTATCTTTAAGTATGCACATGAAATATGATAAAATGTGAAGAAGCGTATATACCATGTCTGAAACAGTTACGTAATAATGAATGTGACTATTAGACTCTAGCTGGAAACTATCAACTACAAAACAAATAAATTCTAGTAAAAAGTTGTCAAGGCGAACTCATCTGAGCTGTAGACAGGTTATCTTGGCACAAGGTGATTGTTAGCCAAGAAATTTATATCTAACTCTGTTGGACAACTGAGGGTGGTATTTGTTTCAAAACCCATCACAGAACTACATAGTAAGACTGAGGTATAGCTGATGAAATTGTTGTATTCGTGCCTAGATATTTGCCACAAACCACCATTGACACCCTGAGCCACCCTAAACAAATATTCTGCGTCTGCCACTTTTAAGAATTCTTTGAGCCTTTTTCACAGAATTAATCATTTTAATTCACTGATATATATCTAGTACTTCTCCTTTAAGCTAGACCGAACAGCTGTCAAATAGAGGTTTGGGATGTTTAGATGTAGATGTTTTTTGTATTTTCTGTTCTACGATCTTAGAAGGCAGCATACTTTAGATTATAAGCAGAATGAAATGAAATGAAATGGGGTTTAACGTCCTACTGTTCTGCTCTGAACTGGGCTAATGAAGACTGGCATATGCCATACATGGTGCTATGAGGGAAATTTTGCCCGGACAGCAGCACTACGGCCTACTCTTATATCGAATTCCAACGGTCACGGAATCTTTTATGTGCACACCAATTTGTACATGGGGATTTTGGTTTTCCATCCCATCCGAACAACTAGACAGCTGTCTTTATCAGGCTGCATCACTGACAAGGGGGGAACCACGCCGGAAAATCTGGATGAACTTTCTCGGCCAATGCAGGGATTGAACACCCGACCTCCAGGCTAGCGAGCCAGTGTCTTACCCACTTAACCACCGTCACCCTGTAGATTATAAGCAACATTTCATTTCCACAGATCGTGATCAAACCTTTGAATGGGAAAAAAAACAAAACAAATTCCGACTTTTTCATGAATAATTTCTTTTTAATAAATAATTTTGCTTTATAGAAGCTTATAGTATATACATATTCAATAAACAAAAGTTTTAACACATAGTATGTAAATACTATGATGTTACAGTTTCTGTGTAATATATATATATAAAATTACCGGTACATACATTATTGATTAAATAATTTACTTGTAATACATACATTAGATAATAAATAAACGCGGACAACAAGATCTCTTTCTATACAACATAATCAATAAATGACAAACAACAATAAATATTAATAATTTAATATAATAATTAACAAACATATCACAGGTTGTTGCTGAATTAAGATTATATCATAAGTGGATAATCCCATTAATCCACTTATTAATGAGAACATCCACTTAATGAGATCATCTATTCTATACACAACATTGATTAACAATAAATACTCAACAAATCATATGAAATTTATTATGTATATAATGTGGGTCATTAATTAGTAATGTTCTTATGGTCCCATTCAATGTTCTCAACTTGAAGCATTAAACATACATTATGCAAGAGCTAAATCTGCCTATTGCAGGTCTTTCTTTTGGCCGGATATGTGTTCTAAATTATTAATTAGACATTAATTAACTTATCCAGGCCATAATCAATGGAGGAGCGAGACTAAGCTTCGAACAACAAGTACGGTGGTTGAAATTATTGCACACGTTTTGTCAAACCTTCAAAGACTAATATCTTCGCTCGCAATAGAGTAATTTGAATGAAATTTTAAAATTATTCATTTTACATTACCTATTTTCGAACACTATTATAGGAAGAATGGCTAGCTCTTTATCTAAATCTTACATAATGTATCTTTAAGTGAAACGACCAGGTTCAACATAGGCTTAATCATTCAGACCTTACATGCCCCCCCCCCCAAAAAAAAACCCAAATAGAAAAAACAAACCAAAAAAACCAAAAAAACAGTCTTTCAATGAACTGAAGATGAAATCTTAATTTAAACACATTGGAATTGGAATGAATAGAGTTGAAATGTTTTGTAAACAATTAAGATAGTTGTATATAACATGGTTTATGATGGAAGACAAATTTCCGTGAATTTAAGTCTATAGACTAGTGAGTTGTCTGGTTAGTGTTTTTTAACCAATCGTTGTAATTTAATTGCCGTAGACGAACACTAGAAATGACGAGAAAATTCACAATGTTGAACCATGGCCACTTTCATAACATGTTCTACTCTTTCATCAATATCTGATGAAAAATCTTCATCAGAAAACGGACTTTCAGGCAGAATCGGTGGAGAATCGGGTGAAAGTTGAGACATTATTACTTTGGCTAGTTTCTGTATTTCATCCCATTTCTTCAATCGATATTGTTTGTACATTTCGCGAAGACCTTCCACTGATGTCTTTCGAAACATCATCTGTAAAGCTTGACCTGTTTTTTCGTTATCAACTAGAGTTATGGTTCGCTGATTCATATCACATACTTTACTGTCTGAAAAAAAAAAAATATACCAATTAATATAAAGCTGTTTATAGAGGTTCATTTATGAAAAACAATTACATCATCACCCCCATGAACAAGATGAATAGCTCTTGATTCAAAAATTTCTATAGTCGTTTAGGTATGATATCAAGATATTAAAATAATCAACTATGATATCAGACATTTTTTGGAATGAAAAATTATTTGGCTGTTTTATAAACACAAAATTATTTGTTTGAATTCAAAAACATTTAAAGATGCAACATGGCAGAAGCAAAATAAACAATTTTCTGGTTTAAATTCATCAAAAATGTGATGTATGATGTAATAATTAGGATCACTGAAAGTCTCTTGATAATTATCTGTTTATTTTCAAAAATCAACAATTGGGCAATTTTATAATAATAGTACTTAATCTAAGAGGGGAAGGATTGAATTAAAGTGGTGGGTGTGTAATTTAGTTGATTGAGTATTCTAGTAGGTATAATAAAAGATATTGAGATGTGAGATAGGAGCTTTATAATTATAAAAGTTTGTTTTGTAAACCAATATAAACATATAATAGTAGTTTACCTAATAGAGGAGCACATTTATCATATTAAATATGGCTAGGTAGTTCTAAGAAGATTAAAGGCTTTTACAGGAGTTAAAGGGACAATAAACATTGAAGTTAGTCATATAGTACAGTAACAATACCCTCGGGCTCTACTTTAATCAGTCAATGACCCCTTGAAGAGTAAATTAACTCAGTTGGACTTCATTTATAACATATTTTGTCAATTTTCAGAAACTCTCTTAAAAACTTGCATGAATGGAAAAAGATTAAAAAAAACTTTTATGTGTAATGGATATCTATTTTTGAAAATTCTTTTTACTTTTAATCAATTATGTTTTCATATTATTTTTCCATTTGTTTACATATTTGCATTTCCTGGACGTCAGCATCTAGTAACTAGTTCCTGATTAACTTGAATACATGTATGTAGACTTTTCTCCAGATCGACATGTATTTGGGAAATGGTTTGCCCTTCGTCCCTTTTTGTGACAAACTTAACGGTACAAACAAAAATGTAGTACTTAGAGGCATCCTTAATTTAAAATAGTTCAATCTAGAAAACCAAATTTTCTTGGGGATCACGGTGGCTAAGTGGGTAAGGGGCTGGCTCACTAGCCTGGAGGTCGGGTGTTCGATCCCTGCATTGGCCGAGAAAGTTCATCCAGATTTTCCGGCGTGGTTCCCCCTTGTCAGTGATGCAGGACGGAGGGCCTGACAAGGACAGCTGTCTAGTCATTCGGATGAGACGAAAAACCGAGGTCCTGTGTACACATTGGCGTGCACGTAAAAGATCCCTTGACAGTTGGAATTCGATATAAGAGTAGGCCGTAGTGCCGCTGTCCGGGCAAAATTACCCTCATAGCACACTGTATGGCGTATGCCCGTCTTCATTAGCCCAGTTCGGAGCAAAACAGTAGGACTTAAACCCCATTTCATTTCATTTCCAAATTTTCTTAAAATTTGCACACTTTGATTTTAATGTAGAGCATTAGAATAATAGTAAATATAAAAGTTTAGTCATCATACCAACACAAACTTACGGGGAAAATTTAATTTATCTTACCTAAGTCTAGAATATGTTTGACAGCTTTATCATGTATCATCAGCAGATGTTGTAATTCCTTCGCCATTTCTATTAAATCCATTTTATATTCCGAGGGTCTAATTTTACAGAGAGATTCTTAACAAATCGCCAGGGAACGATTTTGAGTGTTGAAATTGTAGCAGTTCATAAAGTTTGAATAATTCTCTGTATATTTAACATTCAGGAATTTTTAACCCTGTTAATGATTTTTCTGTATAAGTTCCTTCATAGAATGTTTTTAGGGTACTGTCTATAAAGTCTTTATTCTTTGTGGTTTCTTGTTCTGTTGCCAAATTGAATATTCTCCAGTACTGTGTCTCTGCTACTATAAATATGGATCCCTAATAACAATTCCTTCGTTTTGTTGTTTTCTTTATGTTGTGGTTGTCCAATCTGTTATTCTAGAGTCGTATTGTTTCTGGTACTATCACTGACCACTGACTCTCTTGTATGAACTTCAATCTGTGGACAGTGTTTTGAATCTAAACAGATGTGTTGGTTAGAGTCATAAAGAGGAGAGGGGATCAGGTGTGTAGTCAGGTTTAATATGCTTCACTGATTTTCACCTGGGGCCGATATCCCTTTAACCTGCCTTTTCCTGCTGGCTGGTGGTCAAATTATGTAACCCACTGCTCAGATTTTCTCACTAATACTTCCAGCAAATGTCAACCTGGATCTGATTAACAGAAAAACTGGTGTTCATATAAACATAGATAAATGTTTGTTGGTTGTGTTTGTTTGTTGTTGTTGACAGATCACTTCTATCAGATTAGACAAGACATTACTTGCTTTCCTTTCAATCCTGTTTCAACTTTTGCTCACTAATTTTGATATCTATTCTCTCTGGAATAAATAAACATTCAATTTATCAGTTTCATTCTATTGTCTTATATTTTCATTTCAGTTCAATTTTAAAAAAAAAAAAAATTATTCTGTAACTTTTTTTTTTTTTAATTTTTTTTTTATAATTTAAATACCAATCTATTATTTTAAATTTTTGTAGGATAAATTTAGGTACCATTATACAGAATAGACCAGTTCATGCAATTATAAGGTTTTTCCAAAGAAATTTTGATTTGCTTTCTAAAATATAAGGGCATAATATCATTAATATGAGTCATTAAATGAATAATGGAAACCTGACTAGAAAATACTGTAAGGATTATGAATTGAAAAATAAATCTCCTCAGAGATGGCCTTCCTGTGACAACTATTCAATTTTCATAGAATTAGAATAAATTTGTAACATATTAGACTTTAAGATAATAATTGTTTCAAATAAAAAATGTCACTAAAGGATTTGAAATTGGTTACACATAAAACCTGTACTTCCAACATTATATGTTCAAAATTAATTCCATAAAAAGAATTTAAACACAGAGCTTTCACGACAACTAGAAGATTATTATTGTATGTGGTCAAAGAGATGATAATTGCATTTTACAATTTAAATTATCAAAGTCAATTACTGTGTCTCAGGAGGTTCCAAATTATCCTAAAGGCACAAACAGATTATGACAGATCTCCCTTTTTTTTACCTTTTTTCTCTGATTTTCTGGGTTTTATGGTATGATAAATTCACAATAAAATCACTCTTGTCTGTTCTATATGTTGACGAGGGTCAGGTTCAAAGCTTTAAAACACGGCCAAGTGTTTCACCCCACAGACCTGCAGGCTGTTTCTCTGGAGATAAAAGGATGCTTAAGTCCAGTCTATTGGTCATTTTATACAGCTGTCACTGGAGTAGGGATTTCGGTGGTTAATCAGGGTCATTAAGGGCCAGTTTCATTGGTCGTCGAGGTCCACAGAATAAAGGGCTAACTGTTAGGATTTAGAACAATAATCTCCTATTGGTCAGGTTTGTGACAATCACTGGACAAGCTGTAAGGGTTGAATCCCTGGTAGGGGGTGTCCCCTAAACCCACCTGTCTTGATTAACAGATAACAGGCTTATCTATTGTTTTACATCAAAGGAAGAAGATAATCTCGTTTACAGGTAGTTCTGATTGATGAAGAATATGGGCTGATCGAGTTAAAATAAAAACTAATCTCCAGCCTATCAGAACTTATGAGTTGGACTCATTTTTGCTGTTAATGATGTGTTTTTGATCTTTAGGAGTCCTGCAGAGGGCCTAAATTGAAAGTGAAATAATCTGGTTGTTATGAAATAAAATTGATGAGTTTACCAGAGATACTAATTAATCATAAGGGCATAGTAAAGTCTGCTCACCAGAGGATAATTTTTGATGGGATTTTGATCCTGTAAGCATGAAAGAGATTTTGTTTAATAGTTAAAAGAGACAAGGGAAATTTAATGAGTAGAATTAATAATCTATTTGATCTGTTTCTAGATTTAAAGTATTAGGACAACATATTGTTTTCTTTCAAGAGCATGAAAGGATCTGAGTGAATAAATAAATGGATCTTAATGAATAAATGAAAGGATCTTTGTGAATAAAATGATATATGTATACAAAACAAGGGGATAGCTATGTGAGCTCTCCAAATAACTGAGAAGTGTTATCAGGTGCTTTGATTAAATATGTTATTTATTAAGTGTTAAAAAAAAAATGGTAGCTAAAGTTATATTTTTTAAAGTGTGATATTTATAGATGAATAATTTAGTTAAACATACATTATGCAAGAGCTAAATCGTCCTTTTGTAGGTTTTTTTTTTAGGCCTGAAATGTTATCTAAATTATTAATTAGACATTAATTAACTTATCCAGATCATAACCAACTCTCTATGTCATTGCTAGCCTGCGATATTTAGTGGATTGGCATACATTTTGTGAACGATAATTAAACGTAAAAATGGATAATCAAGACTACGTTTTTTATAGTACCGATTTTAGTAATGATGATAGAGGCTAGCATAAAATTCAAAAGCTAATATCTTGGTTCAGAGTGGAGCAATTTGACTGTAATTTTCAGCATATTCTATATACGTTATCTATTATAGCGAGAACTTTCAACTCTTTATCTAATCTCCCATAATGCCCCTTTAAGAAAAGGGATTCAAGATAAACAATTTTATTAAAAACAAACATGAAATATACGTGAATATCTTGCAATCTTGAAATTGAAATTTTGCTTTGAATTTGAAATGAATTAAGAAAATGGAGGTGAGTGTTTATGTAGTGCATGAAATTACATATATACAAATGCAATAGAGAATAAGATTGGATTTAATATCCTCTCAACAAAGGCTATGTAATATTTGGACTAACATATATTAATTATTTATTTCAGTAATCTGCTTGCACCCGTGTGTTTTAGCAGTGGGAGGAAACAAGAGAAACTCCCACGTACAAACCTCAGACAGTTGACTCAATAATAGACCTTGTGATCTAAAGCGCATGCATTAACCAACTCTGCTAAAATTTCTAGTTATTGAAAGAAAATGTCTTTTTTTTGGGGGGGGGGGGGGGCATTGTGGGTCAGTGATTAAGCTACTGGTTTCTAACCCTAGTGTCTATAGATTTGATCCCAGTGTTGGCAAAGAAAATTCCTCAGGATTTTCTGAGCATGGTTTCCCAGATGTCAGCTGTGCTTGGTAAAGAGACAGTGTTGAATCATTCGGATAGGACGAAAATCAGTGGAACTGTTGCATGCTAATAGAAGAATCCTTGAATTCTAATTAAGAGGAGGCTGTAGTGCCACTGTCGGGGCAAAATTTCCCTCATAACACATGTCTTCATCAGACCAGATAGAGCAGAAAAGTAGGATGTTAAACCCTAATTCATTTCATCCTGATTCTGGATCTGTCAGATAATAAACTATTAATGATATGAGTGTTTGTAGTTGATCACAATTCTTTAATTAATTGATATAAACACATGTTAAATGCTTGAACCTTCATTTAAATTAATAATAATGTTTTTAACAACTCGTTATGGTCATCAATGCAAACAAATAAATACTGAAAACAGTTTGTCCCATTTCATTAAAATCATAGGTCAGTTTTAATGTCTGCAATTTGTTACAGATATTATTACCAGTAGTTTTAATATCTAATCTGTCAAAATCATCTGGTGATTATATTGAATAGGTAGGGGTTGATGGAACTGGATATCAAATTGATTTAATTTAAACAATATTTTATGTCAGTACAAAATGAAATGAAATGGGGTTCAACGTCCTACTCTTATTTTTAATTCCAACTGTCATGGTTGTTCTTTTATGTGTACGCCAATGTGTACATGGGACCTTGGTTTCTCTTCCCATCTGAACAACTTAACGCCAAAAAAATCGAGAGGGACGAATCTGAGACCTCCTGGTTATAAAGCTAGCATCCTCCTCACTGAGCCACTTCAGTGAAAGTATTTGAAACGAAAATAAAAATGTGTCCGCAAAAAACTGACAATACTAAATAGATAGTCTTTTGAGATTGTCTCATTCTGTTTTCTATTAATGTGTTGTGACTTTCAATATATTTCATTAATTTACAACCATCAGTGCCATAGTGATAAACTTTTCTGTTTGGTTATCAGAGTCAGGCCTGGCCTGTGACATATATGCATATGCTAAAGAGATAATCCACTTATCCTTGTATAAACAGATTAGTTACCAATCACTATTGATTGAGATTAGGAGTAAAGTCAACACGTTTAACTTGTTATCATAACATCAATTTATTTTTAAATCACATTGAATGCAATTTACACAATTCAATTGCAGAGCGGAGTACATTAAATTTAAAAAAAAAAAAAATAGTGCAAATAATTGAAGTTAGTTAGTCTCAAATGATTTCCACAAATTGTCTAGCAATCAGAATCCTCAGTTTAATGGAAGAATTAAACAAAAAATAAGAATTGAAAAGTGTTCTTTAAAAAGTAGTTTAGTTGTAGGGTTATTTATTGAGTTGGCCTTGATGTTCATAGATTGAAATGACGTCATTAGATAATGACAAAAATTAAAGATGCCATGAAATGGAAAGGTAGTAATGTGAAATTGAGATGTCCAATTGATTTTTGGCTAAATTAATTTGGGGCTAGTGTGCTTTTAAGGCAAGACTATGTGTTATTATGTATGATCTGAAAGTCTATATTTGCCCTTTAATCT